CATGTAGTAGCCTGTGTGGATAATTACAATGCTTTTGGGTAATATCTTTCATGCAGTGGTGTAGGATTTGTTATCACACCACTTTGCAAGTACCCTCTTGTTTCTTTACTTTTTTACAATTTAATCCTACTACTTTTCCATTTTTAATGTTTTTTATTTACTTGTTATTATTAAAAGACAATTCACAAGAAATGCATCTTATTGACCTCATTTTAAAATTACATTTTCAAAAGCCACAAAGGAAGAGATAGTGGGAGAGAGAAAGAGAGAGCTAACTAAGAAGAGATACATGTGCATGTACATACAATATAAGAGTAAAGAAAGCAAAAACATATGTCATGAGGACTGGAAATGGCTAAAATGGGCCTAGTCTCATCATGCCTGAATAATCACCAATTTTGTAAGCTTACCTAAAGTGCACTTATGTGTCTTTGTGGTTCAGCTAGTAATGTATGTGTACTTGTCTACTTCTGCCACCTGTTAGTCTGTACTTAGCCATATCCTATAGGGGAGGGGTTTGTGGTTTATCTCTAGCTGTATGTACTACACAGTACAAGTAAAGTAATGCAAATAAGATTCCAGTATTATATTAATATATACTAGTGGGCTGTATACTTTAGATACAGTATCATACCTTTAAACAAGCAGACAGAGAGAAAGAGAGGGAGATCTCAGAAGTATGCATACATTTATTATGTACACACATACAGGGATCATACTTTATGTTCATAATCCATTAGTGTAATGAAAATGTCTTCATTGTGTCCTCATTTAAGTAGCAATTCAGCGGCACTTAAGGGCTATAGTAAACAAAAATAAATAAAAATAACAACAACAAGAACATACAAGAATAAAAGCAGCACAATCCATTCTTTATTAGTCTATTAATTGGTTCAGTGTGTGTGTGCATATGTATTGAAGTATATACAAACATATCATAGCTGATGAAACCAATAGAGTCACTATACATAGTACTGACCAGTTAGTGGAAATACAATTACAACCACTACTATACTATTACTAGTAATAATAATAACTGGTAATATAATTAAAACTATTACTAACAATGATACAATATTTCTGGGTGTTAACTTGCTTAATTTTTGTTAATCCAAAAACATTCACTGGTATATAATTCATTGATCTATTGCTCCTAGACACTGTGGTACTTCTAAGAATACAGTGAGTGACCACATTACTTATACAATCCAGTACATGTATGTGTGTATATGTGTGTATGTCTGTACATTATATAGAATCTATAATTAGATTATCTGCAGTGTATGTGTGGGTCCTGTACATTCAAGGTGTATTACTACAACAAGGACACACTCATAGCTAATGATAGCTAGTCAGTCCAGACAGTAGCTATGTCTCTCCTATTAGTGGTTGTTCTCTTATTCTTCAGTAGCTCCTGCAGTGTCTCCTCTGGTCAGTATTATGTGTCTGATGACTGCAGTTCAGTTACTCAGTCACCTTGTAATCCTTTATTAGTGTATGCTGGGGATATGTCTCAATACAATAACACCATCTTCTACTTCATTGGAACTAGTAGCATCAGGAATTATGATGCTATCATGACTGCAATAAAGAATGTTACTCTACATGGACTGGATCAGTCTCCTAGTATTAACTGCAAGGGAGTTTTTAAAACTAGCATTTCGGTATACTTCAGTAATGATGTCACTATTTCTAACATATCTTTTAATGATTGTTCACTGGAGATTCATTCATCCAACAATATTACAATATCTAATAGCTCTTTCTTTCGGTCAAAATATGGCAAAATACATTTTTATAATGCTTTTGATGTTAACATATCATCATCAGTTTACAATGGCTATCAATTAGTCATTTGGTATAACCCTCTTCCAGTATGTAGTGATGAATTACCCCATTACTCATTGATACTGGCTAATGTTAACCTGACTCAATTGCTTGATGTTGGTGGAATGGAACTGGAAATCAACCATGGTAACTCATACAATGTATCAATCATTTTTGATCATCTTCATTCTGCACAATGGCCGCTAATGTTAGAATTGTTTGAAAGTATCTGCAATTTTTTTATCATCAAGTCATCATTTGATAATGCTAATCAAAGTGTTAGCTTTTCGATTAAATTTGGTGAAAATTCAACTCCCACTAAATGCTCATATCCTGGTATTACGTTAGTTTCAAATGTTGTGCTAATTGAGGAAAGTCAATTTTACAATAATTGGCATGGATTTGAAATTACTACTGACCAATACTTGCCTGGAACAATGAACTATCACATTATTATTAAATCATGTTTGATGCGCGACAATGGAGCAGGGTTATTCATTGATGCAACATTTTTGAGATTCCTTCAAATTGATATAATAGATACTGAACTTATTGGAAATGGAGGAAACAAGATACTAAACAGTTTATCTAATCCTATCAGTCTCAGTAATGTTACTGTTGCTAACAGTACTTCAACAGGATTGACACTTGAAAGATCATTAGTAGCAGTTAAGAATAAGTTAATATTCAAGAACAATACTGGAGTAGTTGGAGGAGGATTAGCAATAAATGACTCATCAGTATTGATAATAACATCATCAGCTAACTTGGAGTTTATTGATAATCATGCTTCTTATAAAGGAGGAGGAATCTATGTTGAAGAGTCAACAAGTAGCAACATGAAATTAATGGCACCAAATATACTTCTTACACTAATAAACAATACTGCTGGACTAGTTGGTGGTGATATCTATGGATATGACAGATCTAGTGCAGATAAATATCAGTTTAACTTGACAAATCCTAACATTAGTTCAACTGGCAAACCAGTGTCAATGTGTTCTTGTGATCCTCATGCTATCAGTATTGCTAAAAGCTGTTCTTCTTATGTAAGTGAACAACACATTTATCCAGGTCAAACACTGCAGTATTATGTGGCATTGTTAGGTCACAATTACTTTGGATCACTAACTCCAACAGATGGTACAGTACAAGTATATAATGACAATAATTTGCTCAGTCAAGCATACATTCCCAATACTTGCTCATCAATTGAATGCACACCTAAACTGACTCAAACAGGATATCGAAGTTACTTAGCACTAGTAATGCCACATTTACTTGGCAATCAAATTTTCCATTTTATTGTTAAAGAATGTCCCATTGGTTTCAGTATAGATAAGTCACAAGGTTCCTGTACTTGCAGTCAAAGTGTTTCAAGAGAGAATGTCACATGTGATATAAATAGTCTAAACATTACACACAATGGTCTACTGTGGATTGGAACATGTCATACCAGTACACCTTTCAATGCTAATGCAATCAATCCTAATGCATGCATTATCAATGAGGACTGTCTCCTCTATTGTTCTCCTAATCCCGTTACCTTCAAGTTGAATGACACTGATACTCAATGTGTGGATGATAGAGGACACAGAATGTGTGGATCATGTAGAGAGGGATACAGTCTGCTAATGGGATCAAACAAGTGTGGACAATGTCATAATAATTACATGATGATAGCTTGGATTGCTCTGTTTGCAGTGATGGGTGTACTACTTGTGGTTCTACTGATTGCTCTCAATTTAACAGTATCAGTGGGTACACTCAATGGTCTATTGTTCTATGCTAACATTGTCAAGTTATACGAGCCAGTCTTTTCAAGGAAAGGAGCATTACCAGTCTCGAGTCAAGTCATATCATGGATTAACTTAGACTTTGGGTTTGAGATATGTTTTTACAATGGTATGGACAGTTATGCTAAACAATGGCTCCAGTTTGCTTTCCCTCTCTACCTGTGGATCATTATCATTATCATTATACAATTGTGTAGGAGATATGGTAAGATATCAAGACTGATGGGGTCTCATGCTGTTCCTGTTTTATCTACACTTACTTTTCTCTCATATACTAAACTAGTACGTACTATTGTTATTGTACTACACAAGCGTGAGATAACTCTTCACTGTACAAATGAGTCAGCAAGATCAGTTAGTTTATGGTATGAGGATCCTAATGTAGAATATGCTAAAGGGAAGCATGCTGGACTATTTGGGTTTGCCCTATTGGTGACTGTTTTCTTTGTCATACCATACACACTGTTCCTTCTACTTAATCGTTTTTATGAGAAGTATCTTTCTAATTTCAAAGTTTTAAAAAAATTTTGGAGTCGTTTCAAGCCTATTATTGATGCTTATAGTGGTCCAATGAAAGATGAGTATCGGTTCTGGCCTGGTCTACTGCTAGTGGCTAGGATACCAGTACTTTTAACTGTCACCTTTTTGAAGGATGAATCAAGTGTCTTGCTATTGGCAGTAGCAGCTTTTATCCTCTCCCTTAGTTTTATCTTTGGTGGTATGTACAGAAAGAAATTAAATAATATCATTGAATTTTGGTTTCTATTAAACTTATGCATCATGGCTTCTTTATCCATAGCCTTTACTGATGAGAGTAAAGTATTGATCTGGTACAATACTTGTTTATCTGTTTTTATTTTTAGTTTTATTTTGATTGTTATTTATCATCTTTACCTGCAGTTATCACATATGAAATGTTATGATGCTCTAATTAAGAAGTTATTCAAGAAACAAGATGAAGATGATGAACCTCTTTTAGATCTAACTGAATCAGTTAAAACTGTTGATCAACAAAGACGAGAAATTGTACCAAGTTCTACTGATGTTAGACGTTTTGCTAGTCGTGAATCAGTTGTTGATTTGTATTAAATGTCATATTAATTATTTTTTGTTCCCAGTTTTAACTAGTCATACTATTACAATTGTTATAAATTTAATTTTAGAAACTAATTAAAAAGCTGTCACGAGTTCTACATTCTCATGTTTGCAAAACTATTTTATTTCTTTTAAAACACTTTCTTTGTATAATGTCTTATTTTTTGAATGAACTATGAGCTACACAAAATTGCAGGAGCAGCCTCCTCTAAGCATTTACACAAAGATAATTCACTGCTTACTCACTCAGACACTGGGTCCATTAAATGGATCATAGCAATCACTCAGTTAAGTTAACTTCTCAGACATCACTCCATCAGAAATAGGAAACATTACTAGCTCAGCCATCACTCATTCTCAAACGGTATTCAGTCAATGGGAGTTTGATGATGATTGTCATTAATTAATGTAGTGGGTGTAGTTTAGAATTAATGTAGTGGGTGTAACTGCTTGCCAGTATTACAACAGTGACACTTGCAATTGAACTTTTATGCCCACCATCCACTATTCAACTTTGTTGAAAGCAACTTTGTGGTTACTTTGATGTGCTGTCAACTCTGTTGCCTAAAATAGAAGTCAGTTCTATTTTAGGCAACAGAGTTGCCCTAAGATCAAAGTAACCACAAAGTTGCTTTCAACAAAGTTGAATAGTGGATGGTGGGCATTAGGAAATTTTTAACACAACATAAGAACATGTAGATTTATCAGAAAATTAATAGGGGACATTGGCCCAATTTTTGAGTTGCTTTGTTACACAACATGAGAAAACATGTATCAGAA